GAAGAAAGCAACAACAACAAATCTCACCAATCAATAACAAGACTTCCTGCTCTCAAGACTTCAAAAAGTTTCCATTAAAGAGGGTTTTTTTTTGTTATTTTTTTTTTTTTTTGGGAACGAAAGTTGAACCACTGATCTGCACTTGAAAATCAATTTCAAGTGTAACAAGCAAATGTGCACACACACACGCACGCAAACACTTTACCATAAGAATTCCGTCTTTGTAAAGCTTAACACGGAAAATCTAAATGCCCACCCAAAAAGTAGATTGAAAAACACTCACTCAATGAACAAGAAAAGTGGAAACAACAACAACACAAAACGAAACTAAAGCAGGAAAATCAGAAAAAATAACTTTCATGCTTCAATAATCTCTTTAATGCTCTTGTCCCACCAAAAACATATTTCAAGCATTTGCCTGGGACTGGTGGGTGAGTGAGAGAGAGAGAGAGAGAGAGTGTGTGTGTGTGTGAGAGAGTATTGTTTTGGTAACACCACTTGAGACTAGGGTCTTGGTAATACCAATGTCGTTCATTCATTCATTCATTCATTTATTCGGTCGTTCGTTTCTCCACTATCGTCGTTGTTGTTGTTGTTGCTGCTGGCCACTACTGCATCAAAATCTGTTATGGTAGCCAGTTGTAGTTCTTGTTGTTGGGAATTATACCAATTACCAAATTCAAAAGCGGATTAAAACAGTTCTCAACGAAAAAAAAAAAAAACAAACAATTGGAAGAGAATTGAATTTGTCTGAAAATTTTCAAAAAAAGAAAGACCAACACCAAAAACCCTTCCCTCCCCTTCACCGCTCTTAGAAGCGATGATGGAAAGAATATGTTTTCGGGAAATTCCATAACGAGGGTTAACAATTGAAGTTTGTAAACAAAAAGAAAACAAAAATCAATTGGCTTAAACTCAAAAAAAAAATTTGTTGGGGGGGGGGGGGGGGGGGGGGGTGGTATTTTTGTCACAAAATCGAGTAACACAGATTGGACAATAGTAAAGCTGCTACTTGTTTATATTTCAACAATGGCTATACCAAAATGGTTGAAAATTCGTGAGAAGGTAGCTTAGAGTAAGGAGCGGGCCCTTTTGACTGGCTTAAGTCATAGACTTTAAGATTTGAAGGTGATTTTGGAAATATGTACTAAACAGTTCAAAAAGTACTTAATGTTTCTAAATTTGGTATATGAGGATGGGATAGAGCTGAAAATCTAAAATTTCGTATTAGGGTCGGGTTTTGAGGAAGTTCAGGATTCTTTGGATTCAGAGCTGAAAATCTAAAATTTCGTATTAGGGTCGGGTTTTGAGGAAGTTCAGGATTCTTTGGATTCAAAAAGCGACAAGGCCTTCGATGACATCGAAAGTAAATCGAAAAAATTGTTCTTGATATTGTCGAACTCATTATTGTTAGTTAATTACTTGTTGTTGTTGTTATTGTTTTAGTTTTTTTTTTGTTGTTGTAGCTGAAGACTTGGTTGTTGTTTCCTTATATGCAGTGTGTTATTACATAATTTTGGCAGCATAAATGCCCGGCGTGGTGAGTGTTTCTTAGCTTTGCTATTTGTATTAGTAGATGAAAATTTGGCTTATCTAGAAATACGGAACCAGGGGTTAAATAAGATGAAGGGGTAATCTTCGGTGGAGTGGATGGACTCAGAGATCATCTTCGCTAGAATAGATGAGCATAGGTATTATTTTGCGGTACCTCAAGGGTAATGTATGGCGGAGTAGATAATTTCCGGGATTATCTACGGTAGGGTAGGTGGACGCAGTGCTCATCTACGAAGGAGTATATAGAACCGGGGGTCATCTAAGAACCGAGGGGACATCTACTGTCGAGTAGACGGAACCAGGGATCATCTCTGGCGGAGTAGATTAATCGAGGGCACATCTACTGTAGAGTAGCTGTACCCAGGGGACTTCTAATGCAGCGTAGCTTGAACCAGCGGACATATAACTATAGAGCAGCTGGAACCAGATTAGCTGGAACCAGGCGACATCTACTGTTGAGTAGATGAACTCAGGGGATATCTACTGTTGAAACGATGGACCCAGGGGACATCTACAGTAGAGTAGCTGCACCCAGGGACATCGACTGTAGAGTAGCTGGACCCTGAGGACATCTACTGTGGAGGGCTCCTTTTCGAACAAGAAAACATCTTGAAGTATTGAAGATCATAGCAGACCTTCTGACTCTCTCCAAGACCTCCTTACAAGACCTCTTGACGATATTCCAGTCATTGGATACCTCCTTATGTTTTTTCTGCCGTTGGAGACCCCCTGGCGATCTTCTGGCCGTTGAAAAACTCGTGAGAATCTTCTAAACGTTAAATACCTTCTGCCGGTCTTCTTCTAGCCATAGAAGACATTCTGACGATCCTCCAGACGTCGTAGAAGACCTCCTGACGGTCTTCTAGCCACAGAACACCTCCAGACGGTCTTCTGGACCTAGAAGACCTCTTGACGGTCTTCTAGCCATAGAAGGACATCTTCTGTGGAGGGTTTTTTTTTTTTTTTTTTTTTTTTGAAGAAGAACAACTTGAAGTATTGAAGATCATAGCAGACCTTCTGACGATCTTCAAGCCTTACAAGACCTCTTGACGATATTCCAGTCATTGGAGACCTCCTGATGATTTTCCAGCCGTTAGAGAACCCCTGACGATCTTCTGGTCGTTGAAAACCACGTGAGAATCTTCTAACCGTTAAAGACCTCCGACGGTATTCTAGCCATTGAAGACATTCTGACGATCCTCCAGCCGTAGAAGACCTCCTGACGGTCTTCTAGCCACAGAAGGCTTCCAGACGGTCTTTTAGACCTAGAAGAGCTCTTGACGGTCTTCTAGCCATAGAAGACCTCCAGACGGTCTTCTATTTATATAAGACATCCTGATGGCCTTCTATACTTCTATACATTGAAGATCTCCTGATGGCCTGTATAGATAGAAGACTGTCTGACGGTCTTCGTGACTCCGTGACTGTCTTCTCGTAATAGAAGACCTCCTGATGGTTTCTTTACGTAGAAGACCTCTGGGTGTCTTCTAGCCATAGAATACCTCTTGACGCTCTCCTAGGCATACAAGACCTCTTGGCGCTCTTCTAGCCACAGAAGACCTCCTGGAGCTCTTCTATGCATAGAAAACCTCCTGACGATCTTCTAGACTTCATAGAAGACTTCTTGATAGTCTTCGAACCATATTAGGCCTTGTAACAGTTTTCTTTTCAAGATTTTCGGATGGTGACTTCTTCTTCTTCTTGTTTTTTTTCCCGTATTTGTATAGGCATTTTTCTCCTCTTTTTCATACCGTCCCTCTTCATTTCTTTCCTTTCCGTCCATTTTATCGATTATAATCGAAAATGTGTAAATGTTTAAATGTCACGCCTCCAAATGCTTCAGTTTTTTTTATTCCTTCTTCAAATTGTGTTTGTGCGTGTGCCAGTTCAACTACAATTTAGGATTTCCTTTATGGCCATGGAGCAACGAAGAATAAATAAAAAAGCAGGAAAGAAAAACAACAGCTGTTTTAGCCGAGGGGGATAAACTTAAAGGAAAATCGCATTTTCTATGTGTGTGAGATTTTCTAAATGTGTCGACTTAACATTTGGGGCTACTTAATGCCGGTTACAGCAAAGTCCCTCTCCCCACCCTCCTTCTCTTTGTATTTTTAATTAATTTAAACACCTGATTTAAGACCTTTTTGTAGGTCTTATGCCACAAGTCATCATCGAATGTGTTGTGTGTGTATGTGCGTTTGGAATTTCTTTAGTCCCTTAAGTTATGTCCGTTTTTTTGGTTTTAATACCACTCTAAATGTCACAATGGTTAACTTTTAACTCTCCCAAATATGTTTTTTTTTTTTTTTGTTTTTTGTTATGTTTATGTCCATGTCCGTGCTCATTCGATTATGGCCCGGTTCATGTATTTTGACCATATTTTTGTATTATTTTTTTATTTGATTTGTTGTGTTCTACTCTTCTGGTGTTGGATGGAGTGGGAGGCCTGGCCTGGATTAATTTCCTATTAGATATGTAACATAGATTGTTTTGGTGTTAGTTAAGTTATGTGACAAATTTATTATGACTTTGTTATTGTTGTCGTTGTTGTTATTGTTAACAACATTATGTGTTGTGGCTCTGGGTGAGTTTTGGCCCTAATTCAATTGGTTTTCACGTTTCCACTCTTCTTCTGCCTATGCCTCAAACAATGTCATTGGCGATGATGTTGCTTGTTTGGCCGTTGTTGTTGTTTCTGCTTGGCCATAAAGGAAATGTTCGAAAGAATATTTCCACAAAAACTGATTTTTGTCACGTGTAGCTGTAGACTATTTAATATTCTGTGCAGTAACAAGAAATTAAAGAAATTCTTAAAGTCTTGAAAGAAAAATACAACATGGCTAATAGCTTGTAGCTACATGGGGGGATTACAACAGAAATCTAGGTTTCTGTTGGGCACAGCCATGTAATCACCTAGTTTTGTTATGGATTTATGCCTTGTAATGCCTAGAAAAAAACATATGAAAAAAAAATTGAAGAGGAAATAAATATTATTTTATTGATTGAACAAATTTTTGAGCAATTAATTGTTGAACTCAATTCGTGATAATAATTGAAATTGAAAAGAACACGTTGCAGACCTAATGGTGTCTAGCAAACAAAAGAGAAAGTGTTAATTGCTACGAATTTTCAAAAAAAAAAAAAAAAATTGATTTGAATATTCATTTTTTTCTACAGGCCCTTGGAATAATTTTTCAATTAAACGGAAATATTTAAAAATAATTTTTTGAAAAAAAAAAAAAAAAACAAGCGAAAAATTATCAATCGGTTTTGTCGACAGATGTATTCCCTCAGTCAATGTACGATTATTTAAATATATTTTTACTTGTGTTATGGTTTTTCAAATTGTTGACCCTCTATGGAGTAGGCTCCAAAGGAATGAAATAATGTTGTTCACTTCGTATCGGACTTAAATAAAAAAGATATATCTTGAGAAATGGTTGTTTATCGGCCTTTTTATTTGATTTATAAATAATAAGATTTTTTTTTTTTTTCGAGCTTTAGGCCATTTTCGGATTTATTTTATTGATTACAATAATATGTTCCCAATATTTCGCAATTATCAAATTGCATCTTCAGGGGCAATCTATTTTAGAAAACATAATTATTAGTATCACAGCATTTTGTTATGGGCACAATTATTTTCCAAAAAAGAGATTTCTTACATTTACATAAAATTGTCAGATTTACTTAACAGCTAATGTAGTTTTTACTACCATTGTCTGGTGTTATTATTGCACTGATTATTTCTACGTATTGCACGATCTCTTCTTTGTCAAGTGTCGATAACAATAAGCTGCATTATCGGTGTCGCTTTTGTAATTGATCTTTTTGTTTGTTGGTATGTTATTTATATGCAGCATCTCCAATGTTAACCTTCTGTTGTAGTTGTTCTCCGCCTGTAATACTCGTATTTTGTCAAAGTTTGGTATGTGGTTGTTAAGTTTACAGTGTTCCGCAAGTGCTGTTTTTTGAATATTGTTTTGGCTCCTTAATTTAATGTCTGATTTATGTCCCGATATTCTAGTTTTTAATTTGTTTTTTGTGGTACCAACATATATTTTTCCACATTTTTCGTCTTTTGTTCCATCACATTCAATGCTATATATTACATTGTGTCTCTCACTTAACGGAATTCTACTTTTGGTATTAGTAAATAAACTTTTTAGTGTATTGTTTGTCCGTGTTGCTATTTGCAGTTTATCCTTGTCATATAAATCGGAATTTTGGAATCTCTCAGATAATCCAGGAATATAAATCATTGATTTGTAATATTTTTCTTGAGATTTGTCCTTAGATTTCGGTATATTATATTCATTTATTAATTTTTCAATTAATAATTTTGGAAAACAGTTTTTGGACAGTATTTTTCGTATTTTGTTTTTATTAGTTTCGTGGAATTTATGGTCGCTAATATTCAATATTCTGTTTATAAGATTCCTACCTGTGTTAATAATCATTTGTTTTGGATGTTTCGAGTGGAAATTTAATATGCGACTCGATGCCGTCGGTTTTTGATACCAGTTCATTTCTATTTTATTGTCCTTTCTCATTACAAGTGTGTCCAGATATGGGATGGAACCATTATGCTCCTTTTCAATGGTAAATTTAATATTTTTGTTGAAATTATTGAAAGTCGTCAATGTTTCTTGTATTGCATTTTCCCCAACAATCATAAATAAATCGTCTACATACTTTGTTAATATCACAGGTTTCGTCTTAAGTTTTTCCATGCAGGTGTCAAGTAGTTTCTCCATCACTATATCAGCTACAATCGGAGAAGCTGGTGAACCCATAGGTAGTCCTTTCTTTTGTTTGTATATTCTGCCCTCATATTGAAAATATCGATTATCTTTAATACAAAACTTTAGAATACTTAAAAATAAGCTCTTTGACATATTGGTGTATTCCTCAATTTCGTTCCATCTTTTCTCTATTATTTCTAGTCCCAGGTCCACAGGTATACTTGGAAAAAGTGACACAACATCACTCTCAACGATGGCTGGTTCGTGAATAAAACTAACGTAGAATTCCCAAAAGATGTAAAATGGTTACTCTCGTTAGGAGAAAAATTTGGATTACCAACTAGCAAACAGAACTTTCCACTATTCAAAGTCATTGCTGACGGCGACGACATCATACAAACAAACAACGACAAAGAGCAACAAGAAATAATGAGAACCAAATTTACAACAATGCTAGACTCACATCTAAACAAAATGAGAGATAGCTACAGAGACAAATTTATTAACACAACAGTGGCTCACAGCAAAACATTTTTGAAACAAAATAAAAATATTTTAATTTTAAATGCGGATAAGGGTAATGTGACAGTAGCAATGTATAAAGATGATTATCAACAAAGAATGAATGAGATATTAGGTGACATGATGACTTACCAACGATTAATTAAAGACCCCACATCTAACTTGTCCAAGAAAAACAATGAACTCGTGGAAGAATTGTTTAAAAACAATATACTATCGACGGCAGAGAAAAAATGTCTGAAAACTGACGTGGCTATAGCACCAAGACTATACGGACTACCCAAAATTCATAAAGAAAATTTCCCCTTGAGACCTATATGCTCATCGGTTAACTCACCTTCAATACAATTATGCAAATATGTGGTAAATATTCTAAAAAATCTGACCAAAAACTCCAAATACAATGTAAGTGACTCGATGCAATTTAGAGATAAGATTAAAAACTTGACGATTAAAGACGAAGAGCAGATGGTCTCATTTGATGTTGTGTCACTTTTTCCAAGTATACCTGTGGACCTGGGACTAGAAATAATAGAGAAAAGATGGAACGAAATTGAGGAATACACCAATATGTCAAAGAGCTTATTTTTAAGTATTCTAAAGTTTTGTATTAAAGATAATCGATATTTTCAATATGAGGGCAGAATATACAAACAAAAGAAAGGACTACCTATGGGTTCACCAGCTTCTCCGATTGTAGCTGATATAGTGATGGAGAAACTACTTGACACCTGCATGGAAAAACTTAAGACGAAACCTGTGATATTAACAAAGTATGTAGACGATTTATTTATGATTGTTGGGGAAAATGCAATACAAGAAACATTGACGACTTTCAATAATTTCAACAAAAATATTAAATTTACCATTGAAAAGGAGCATAATGGTTCCATCCCATATCTGGACACACTTGTAATGAGAAAGGACAATAAAATAGAAATGAACTGGTATCAAAAACCGACGGCATCGAGTCGCATATTAAATTTCCACTCGAAACATCCAAAACAAATGATTATTAACACAGGTAGGAATCTTATAAACAGAATATTGAATATTAGCGACCATAAATTCCACGAAACTAATAAAAACAAAATACGAAAAATACTGTCCAAAAACTGTTTTCCAAAATTATTAATTGAAAAATTAATAAATGAATATAATATACCGAAATCTAAGGACAAATCTCAAGAAAAATATTACAAATCAATGATTTATATTCCTGGATTATCTGAGAGATTCCAAAATTCCGATTTATATGACAAGGATAAACTGCAAATAGCAACACGGACAAACAATACACTAAAAAGTTTATTTACTAATACCAAAAGTAGAATTCCGTTAAGTGAGAGACACAATGTAATATATAGCATTGAATGTGATGGAACAAAAGACGAAAAATGTGGAAAAATATATGTTGGTACCACAAAAAACAAATTAAAAACTAGAATATCGGGACATAAATCAGACATTAAATTAAGGAGCCAAAACAATATTCAAAAAACAGCACTTGCGGAACACTGTAAACTTAACAACCACATACCAAACTTTGACAAAATACGAGTATTACAGGCGGAGAACAACTACAACAGAAGGTTAACATTGGAGATGCTGCATATAAATAACATACCAACAAACAAAAAGATCAATTACAAAAGCGACACCGATAATGCAGCTTATTGTTATCGACACTTGACAAAGAAGAGATCGTGCAATACGTAGAAATAATCAGTGCAATAATAACACCAGACAATGGTAGTAAAAACTACATTAGCTGTTAAGTAAATCTGACAATTTTATGTAAATGTAAGAAATCTCTTTTTTGGAAAATAATTGTGCCCATAACAAAATGCTGTGATACTAATAATTATGTTTTCTAAAATAGATTGCCCCTGAAGATGCAATTTGATAATTGCGAAATATTGGGAACATATTATTGTAATCAATAAAATAAATCCGAAAATGGCCTAAAGCTCGAAAAAGAAAAAAAAAAAATCTTATTATTTATAAAAAAGATATAAATATTGCGACGTGCCAGTTTTGGGCTATATCGACAACTTCCTTCATTTTATGTGAGATATGTGATAATTTTTTTGAAAATGTAACAAGTAAAAAGCGGTTAAGCCAGCGCCGAACCTATAATAACCTCCACCATTTGAAAAAAATCAAAAAAATGACCAAAATTGTCGTTATATCTTTGTACGGAGGCTATACGAAGACGTGGACCTGCATAAGTAATTTTTTTTTTTATCATAGGCTGTAGTATCCATTAAGATCTTCAAAAACGAAATTTTGAAACAATTCCGCGAACAATGTTACTAAAACCATCAAAATACCGAATATAGGGAGGTACCGTTATATGGGGGCTATACGAAGACGTGGACCTGCACAGACAATTTTCTGTCATAGGCTGTAATATCCATTGCGAACATTAAGTACCGAATTTGAAACAATTCTAGTGAATAATATCGCTAAAATCAACAAAATACCGAATATAGGGAGGTACCGATACAGGGGGGGCTATACGAAGACCTGGAACTGAATAGACAATTTTGTGTCATAAGCTGTAGGATTCATTGCGGACTTCAAGTACCAAATTTGAAACAATTTGGGAGAAAAATGTTGCTAAAATCAGCAAAATACCGAATATCGGGAGGTACCGTTATATGGGGGCTATACGAAGACGTGAACCTGAACAGACAATATTCTGTCATAAGCTGTAGGATTCCTTGCGAACTTCAAATACCAAATTTGAAACATTTTCGGTGAATAATGTCGCTAGAATCATCAAAATACCGAATATCGGGAGGTACCGTTATATGGGGGCTATACGAAGACCTGGAACTGAAAGGACAATTTTCTGTCATAAGCAGCAGTATTCATTTCGAACTTCAAATACCAAATTTGAAACAATTCCGGTGAATAATGTCGCTAAAATCAACAAAATACCGAATATATGGAGGTACAGTTATATGGGGGCTATACGAAGACCTGGACCTGAATATACAATTTTCTGTCATAGGCTGTAATATCCATTGCGAACATCAAATACCAAATTTGAAACAATTCCGGTAAATAATGATGCTAGAATCCTCAAAATACCGAATATTGGGAGGTACAGTTATATGGGGGCTATACGAAGACATGGACCTGAATAGACAATTTTCTGTCATAAGCTGTAGGATTCATTGCGAACGTCAAATACCAAATTTGAAACAATTCCTGTGAAAAATGTTGCTAAAATCATCAAATACCGAATATGGAGAGGTACCGATAAATGGGGGCTATACAAAGGCGTGGACCTCCACAGACAATTTTCTGTCACAAGCTGTAGTATTCATTGTGAACTTCAAATACCAAATTTGAAATAATTCCGTTGAATAATGTCGCTGAAATCATCAAAATACCGAATATCGGAAGGTGCCATTATTTGGTGGCTATACGAAGACGTGGACCTGCATGACCCATTTTCAACACCACTAGTCCTGCAGACATAATATACGGAAGCTAGAGTGATTTCCACAGACGGAATGGGGAGACGAACGGACGGAGAGACATATTTCGGATTTTATGATCGTTTTGGTTATTCATAGCTCTGGCCCTTTGTGGGGGAGGTACCAGAAGGAATGGTCCAATCTTTACCATCTTTATAACAGATCTTGTGTTGATGAAAATATTCAGATGTGCTACATCTGAACACAATCGGATGTCCATTTCGAGTTTAATGAGCTTTATGAATATTCAAAATTTTGTACCCTCTGGGGAGGGGAGGTACCAAAAGGAGTGGACCTTTATAACAAATCTTGTGTAGACGGAAATATTGAGATGTACTAAGTCTGAATTAAATAGAATGTAAATTTCGAGTTTCGTGGATGTTTCAAAATGTGGGGGACATATCAGAAGGAGTGGACCGATTTATTCCATCTTAACACCAGACCTTGGATTAATAAAAATATTAGGATGTGTGAAATTTGAAGACAATATAAGAGTTATAATTATTCAAGATTTTGAGGAGGTACTCTATGGAGTGGACCGCTATTGTCCATTTACGCACCTAACCTAGCACTGATGGAAATTTTAGGATTTTGCATAGTTGGAGCAAAATCGGAGTATCGTTTCTCCTTCGGTGCAGTATTTTTTTGAAATGTTGACCTTTGCCCATCTCCGAACTCTATCTAAGTTTGATTATAATATTACGAAGTACCAAGTTTGGACCAAATCGGATACTCTCTTCGAGATTTATCGTGCCCACCAGACAGACAGGCGGACGAACGGACATCGCTAGATCGACTCCAAATGTCCTGAAATGAATTTGGTGCAAGGAGACATAGGATCTAAAAACGTTATTTCGATAAGGCACGTTTTGGATGTATCAAGTGATATATACCCTCTCTAGCCGTATAGCTAAGGGTATAAAAAATTAAATTTTTTATTTTTTTTTTAATTCTCTAAAAAATTTTAAAATTAATAAAAAAACCTTAAGATGTATCTATGTTCATTTTTTCAAATCAGTTTTCTATTTCTCATTAAATTTTGCACCCACTCCCCACCTCATATCCTTCGAAGTGCGCAATATCCCCTGAAATCCCATCTCTTTAATATAGATTACATCCTCCGCCGATAGGTATTAAAATACTCAAGATATTTGGTATTTGTGGTATCTCCGTATCTTGCCACATCTTATTAACACCCACTTAATCCTTATTTGTATTTACCTTACGCTTGATTTGTTCGCTTGATTTTCAAATACACCCACACCATCCCCCACAGCCCCAAAACGCCTACATGCCATCTTGTAATGAATTCATTCACCAAACAATGTGTACCCCAGGCTCCGAGGCTAAATATGAAATTCTGAAATAACAATCGTCTTTGTCTGACAAGTCTTCAGTTTCGGCATGAAATCGTATCGACATAGATTCTGATTCTGCTAAGACATTACAATAATATTTTTGTATTTGTTTGCATAAATATATAATGTGAAGGATAAGGCGAAGATAACGCACAAGTCCTGTGGCATCGCAGTTTGCTATACGTAAGTACTTCTACTCCCTCTCTCTATTTCCCTGTCAATGTTACAATTGGCAATAACATTGACTTAACGTTTGCCATTGATAATGACAGCTGGTGGTAGAGGGCAGGTGGAGAAGTAGACTTGTGGTACTCCTAGTCCTTATTATCATCATCATCGTGATCTCTATTTGAAAAGTGGAAGGCGGAAATCAATAACAAACAAAATCTGCAATATTCAATAATAAACAAAAATTAGTATTTAAGCCCTTTGGGCCTGAAGCGAGGATGGCAAAAAGTAAATAGAGGCAAGGAATGATAATGATAATATTCCTTTCTATTCATGGGAAAAATAAAAATTAATATTTAAAGGAATAAAGGGTGGGTCCAAAAGTGACTACGGAATTTTATAATAATTACAGTTTTTAGCATATTATATTAAAGACTCATATCAAGGATTGAAGATTAATTACCCTCAGCCTGAAGTCTCTGGGGTATATGATGAGAACACATTGTATTGAAAATTCATTACTTAGTTACTCCTAAGTCACCTTACCTTACCTCACCTCAACCTAACCCCAAAACAATGACATTTCACATTGAAATGAAAGGATTCCCTTTGGTCCTTTTGCCACACAAAGCCACATAATCAAAGAAGTAAATTTCATTTGCTGCCATAACATAAACAGCTACAGCAGCAGCAGCAATAGCATTCAATGTTAATGACAGCTACAATTCCTGACAAGGGAAAAAGTAGAGAGAGAAAATGGGAGAAAAATATCACAAAAATCATAAAAGGAGAAGGAAGTCAACAAAATGAAAACATTGATTCACTTTCAATATAATAATCATCATCATGTTCTGTTTCGGTCCGCAGAAATATTGACTTTCGTAGACATTTCTAAGCAGTCAGTTAGGGATGGGAGGGGGCGATGGAGTCATGTATGGCATTGGGAATGTATGAAAAGCAATAAGCTTTGATAATGGTTTCTCGTAATGATGGCAACAGGCACAATGTGGCTGGGGACTGGTGTCCAGAGGGGGGAGGGTGCAGTTATGAAAGCAATATTCTTGGATTTGAAAAGGAAAATGAAAGTTAGAGCAATTAACCCATTGGGGGATGACAGTTCATGTTTCGAGGGAAAAATTAAAAAAAAAAAAGAAATTTAGCAAAAAAAAAAATTGTTTTAAATACTAAAAAAAAATAAAATAAAAATTATAAATATAAAAAATATAACATAAATAAATAAAAAAAAGAAAAAAACATTAAATTTGGCCGGCTAAAGGAAACATTAGAACCCATTATGACCCACAAATACCAATTTTTAGACATATTCGTGGGAAAAAGTGGCAAAAATCAAAAATATCGAATATTAGGAAGTACCGCTATATGGGGCTATACAAAAAACGTGAAACTGTACATAGAATGTTTCGCCAACGGAGCTACAACCCATTTTGACCAACGAATACCAATTTTTAGACAAATCCGTAAAAAAAATGTGACAAAAACCATCGAAATTCTGAGTATCGGGAGGTACCATTATATGGGAGCTATACGAAATCGAGGACCTATACATGCAATGTTTCGTCACCGTTATATGGGGGCTATACCAAAAAGGTACCGTTGTATGGGGAATATACCAGATAATGTGGGCTGTATTAAATCGACATAGAATTTTATGCTGATTATGGGAAGTTTGAAACGGAATGACAAAGTTAATATACCCTCCTTTCCAAGTCGCATGTTTTAAAAATATAAATAAATAAAAAATATAATATAAATATAAAATATTCTTTTTTTGATTGGGCCAAGAATTTTGCAACACCACGAAATATTGGTCCTAGGCTGAGTGTATTCATTCATCTGTAAGTCGGTCCGTCCATGAAAGCTACAGGTTGTAAATATGACACGATCCTCGGGAATTTTTGCATGGAGTTGGGGTTAAGATCAGAATATAAGGTTAAAAGGCAAAATATTTAAAGGGTTAAACAGACCAAAAACTGAAACAAATCTTGATTTTGCAGTTACTCCACAAGTCACAATCGACGCAGATGCCTTTGCATGGGGAATAAGTTTACGAAGTCTATCAATTTGGATTTTCATCGGATAATATTTAGAGGGTGATATATCTTATGTGTAAAGAAATACCACCATTTCCATTTAACTTCGGATATTTTTAACCCCTGGAGAACTTATAACATCACATGAAAAGGTCGCTTTCGCTTTGATGCTGATGGCCAATGTATCGGAAATACGTCAAAATATTCACAATAGGCCGGGGGGATTTGTTTGAAAGAACGGACACATAGCGTTTCTGTTTTCTGGGGTTGTACATGAGGCCACCAGACCATATGTCAATGGTAAAAATCGAGCCCGCCCATTTTGAATTAAAGTTTAATCTCAGACTTCATTATACCCTACACCACATGGTGGTAAGGGTATTATGTCTTCGTGCATTTGTTTGTAACAAAGAAAGTGAGATAGACCCATAGTTACTTTTGAGGATTTTTATAGAATAACTTTCTGAATCGATTTGTGAATATCAGTCATTTGAAATTGGTGAGAATCGGTTAAAATTCAGATATGGCTCCATATATATATCTTCTACCGATATATACAGGGTGAGATAAAAAAGGTGCAACAAAGTCAAACGCCATAATATTTACATTTCTTTTTAAATTTTATTGAGTGAAAGCAAAAAATGTCGGAAATAGCATCAAATTTTAGAATAAGTTTAGATTTGGCGGAGTTTTAGAAACGGCGAATGAAATCGTCACACGCTGCCCAAATGTTGCTCTGCGGTATTTTTGCAGAGTCCAACGTCAACTCAACCTTATTTTGTAACCATTCTTGGTTGGCGCGTGCTGAATGCGATGGTGCTGAGTTCTCTTGGAATGTCCAAGGTCTGCGGCCAAAATGTATGCGCGCCCAAGGCTTTAATCCACCCTCCAAAATATATTTTCGCGATGATATTCGGCATTTATTCTGATGCCACGGTCAAATAATACGAGCAGAGAGTGACCATCGGCTGTTGTGGAGGCCCACACCATCACCATTGCCTGCGCTTGAGTTCTGGTGGCCAACCGAATGTGCACATTTTCAGCTGACCTCTTTGGCAAGTAAACACGATCATTTTGTTTCAAAACGCTGATATACGAGTCTTCTATTTAAAGCTCTACTTTCAATTTGGAATTTTACCATAATTATTGAAAAAAAATTGTCGCACATTATAACCGACTTTTGTCGCTATGGTTGTCTTTGAAAAATATTATTTGATAAATCTAAGTTTGGGGGTATAGTTGCTTTGAAAAAAATTTTAAAGGGTCTTGAAAAATACTCATTGCAAGTAAAATGTTAAATTTTTTTTTCTGTTTTGCTATCTTTAAATTCTCCCCTGGTGGGTTAATTTGTCTCCAATAGCCACTTTTTCCCTTCGAAAAAGTAAATATTTTTTTCCCAGTATTATTTACGAAAATAAACATAAGCCATAAAAAACGCAAAAATTAATACCCTATGAAGAGCTATTAAAGAAAACGCGAGAATTTCCAGTCATGGCCAATGAAGCCATTTTATTTCAAATTGAAAATGGAAAAAAAAATTGTCCTCATGGAAATAGACAAGAATTTTTAATTAATTTCTTGTCTAGTGATTATTTGTTAAAATTTCGTAATAAAAAAGAACGGAGGCATTTTTTAAGAGTTGAATAGAAATTAAAAGTAAAATATTTTTAGAGGTCTTGTCCGGGGAGAGGAGGAGAAGTCACAAAAAAAAGTTAGATTATTGGGAAATTTGTTTCAATTTCCAATGGAATTTATTTCAATTTTCTAGCGAAAATTTCTTTTTTTAAATTGAATTGAATTTTTAGCCAATAAATTCCATGAAAATAGTGCCATCTCCAAGAAATGATTGAAAGGCCATCGCTGTAAGATATCCTATTTAAAATATCTGTAAATGGGCATCTATTAGTAGCCGACCTGGTGTTGGATTTTTGTTCTATGAAAATGAGAAATGAGACCTTTTATTGAGAAAATAAATGACAAATGAGAGATTTTGTGAGAAAAAATGTTTTTTCATAGGATTTTTTAGCTCCTCTTCTAAGAAATTTTGAAATAAAAATATATGAAACTTATCGCTTGACATTTCCATTCTCCATAAAAATTCCAAGGTAGATGTATTTCTTTTCCTCTCAAAACACAACTTTTTAATTAATTCAAATTAAACAAAGCATGACAAAGCATTGATGCACATCATCGAAATATAAAATTTCCGAATCATATTTTTAGAAATTTTGGCAGAGAAGAAGACTTTGGTCCGAATTCTCCTCCCGTCTGACCTCTTTATATAGGCCTCGAACATTTTGAATTTGATATTTTCATAGAACAAGAATCGTGTCTCTGGTCTTCTACCCAGGATTAACAGTTAAATTTCAAATATATAGGATCTCCTCCTTCTCTTCAAGGTCTCATAAATGTGGACTTATTTTACCTTTCCCCATGAGATCTTCACCCCCTTCACATTAACAGTTTAATTTCGAATATATAAGATCTTTAAAAATCTCCTCCTTCTCTCCTAGGTCTCATAAATGTGAACTTATTTTACCTTTCCCCATGAAATCCTCACCCTCTACCCATTCCCCTAAAAAATTATAGCAAACCATAATTTTAATTAGTGTATCATAAAAAAAAAATAATTCCAAAAATTCTCTTCACCTCTTTTCATTGCAGGTCTACACTTGTCAAGCCAGTAATGGCCATGTGGTGGCAGCTCTCACCAAGAAATTTGTGCTCGACATGAATTGTAAGTATCATTCGTTGCATATTTTTAGGCGCAACGAGAAAATTTTTTGTTCACTTCAATATAACGTTTCTTTTAATTTTCCTTCCGACAAAGAGGATAAATGGTAGTCGACAAAAAAAAATTAAAAAAAAAAAACGTAGAAAAAATCACAGCTTAACCTCGAGCAAGAAAATTAAGCTCTGTGTTCACAACCTTTGATACAAGTACAATACAAGGTTTCTCCAAGTCGTTTGCTGACTTTATAATGGCATGTCCTTCAGATTGTCTACATCCTCTTTGGATTGTATTTTATTTTCATGTTTTTTTGTTATTATTTATTTTTTTTTGTATTTTACAAAGTCATACTCATAAATATTGACTTTGCCAGCCTTGTTGCTATCGCATGTGTGTGTGTGCGCGTATCCTGGCCATTAATGTCATGTTTCATAACTTAAAACGGAAAACACACACACACACATATTTAAATTTCATTATGCAAATAGCTTGATAGGCCTTGTGTGTGGCCCGTTCGCCAAGGATTTTCGATGTTCAATTCTTTGGCTTACCCACCTACCTCCCTCCCAACCTCCTGCCTATTATTCATTTTCCACTTACCGTCCATTATTTGTCCATTGCTTTGTGTATTTATGTAGAAAATTGTTCATTTGCGCTCAAAACTGAATAATGGCAAGCTTTACTGCTCTAATAGAGCTAAAAGTGGGCGTATTATCCTGCAATGATGATGATGATGATGATGGACGACCATTGTTTTTGTAGGCTCATCAAAAGTATGCAAATGAGGCGTATTAGAATTATAATTAAATCGATAGCAAAAGGCTTTTGATTCGGGAAACCATCAGTTACTGGGGTAATAAGGGGAGGAGAGGGTTACGTTGGTAGTGGGTGGGGCTCATTTGACAGGGGAGGATTCCATGTAAAAGCTTCGGAGGTACTTTTGAATGCAGAAGAGCTTTTGGGGTGATTTTGTGTAAAACAGAACATTTAAAGCTCGTTTGTGCTTAGAAAAAGTCTAAAAGCTCTTTTTTCCTTAGAAGAGCTTTAAATTGTCTCCGTCTACAAAAGAGCTTTAAAATATCTGAGAAAATAAAAGAAAAAAAACAAAAAATGAAGGAATTGTTTTTATAAGGAGCTTTAAAAGATATTTTTCTATAGAAGTGCTTTAAAGGATCGGATAGAAGAGCTTTCAAAGATCTTATACATATAGAAGAGTTTCCAAGGAACTTCTATCTATAGAAGAGCTTCAAAGGACCTGATATTTATAGAAAAGCTTTAAAGGCTCCTATGTCTACAGAAGAGCTTACAAAGGCCTTCTATCTATAGCAGAACTTTCAAAGGATTGTCCAAAGAAGCACATTTACCTTTGTACTTCGAAAAAGTCTAAAAGCTTTTTTTTAGAAAAGCTCTAAATGCTCTTTCGTCTACAGAAGAGCTTTGAAATGTCTACGGAAATAAAAGATAGCTTTAGAAGTCTTTAGTTTATAGAAAATCTTGTGAAGGACTTCTTTTCCTACAATAGTTTTAAAAGGTATTGTATCTAAAGAAGAGCTTCAAAAGGACCTGTTAAAGCTCTTTTATTTATAGAAGAGCTTTAAAGGTTCCTATATCTATAGAAGAGCTTTTAAATGCCTTCTACCTATAGCAGGGCTATCAAAGGTTTTACATCTATAATAGAACTTTCAAAGGTCTGTCCAAAGAAGCACATTTAAAGCTCCTTTGTACTTCGAAAAAGTCTAAAAGCTTTTTTTCATAGAAAAGATCTACATGCTCTTTCGTCTACAGAAGAGCTTTGAAATATCTACGGAAATCAAAAATATAGCTTTAAAAGTCTTTTGTTTATAGAAAATCATCTGAAGGACTTGCTTTTCTACAAGAGCTTTAACAGGTATTGTTTCTAAAGAAGAGCTCCAAAAGCACATCTATGTATGGAAGACCTGTTTAAAGCTCTTTTATCTATAGGAATGCTTTTAAATATCTTGTATCTATGGAAGGGCTTCTAAAGGTCTTATATCTATAGAGGAGCTTTCAAAGACCTTCTATTTATAAAAGAGCTTTAAGAGCTTTCAAAGGTCTTCTATCTATAGCAGAGCTTTCTAAGGTTTTCTATCTTTAAAATAACTTTAAATTGTCTTTTTTTCTACAGAAGAGCTTGTAAAAGTCCTCTATCTTTGGAAACAGGGGAAAAGCTCTTATGTTTTTATAATAACCTTGAAAGCTCTGTTTTATAGAAGTATAGTACTTTCAACGTCTTATTTTTTTAATAAGAGCTTTAAAATGTTTTCTATAATTGGAAAGGCTTTATCACTAGAAAAGCTTTAAAAGATTTCAACCTCTAGAAGAGCTTTAGAACGTCTTCTATATCTAGAAGAGCTTTAGTAGGTCTTCTATATTTTAAAAAGCATCGAAAGTTGTTCTATAATGGAAGAATTGTAAAAGCAGTTTTTGGAATAACTATTAAAGTTATTTTTTCCAAAAAACACTCTAAAAGGTCTTTAAGAAGAGCTCCAACATATCTTCTGTCTATAAAGAGCTTTAGAGATGTTTTACCCACAGAAGAGCTTTCAAAGTTACTCTATCTACAGAATATGTTTAAAAAGTCTTCCATCTATAAAAAGAATTTAAAATATCTTCTGACTGTGAAAGAGCTTTAAAAGCTCATTTGAATTTAGAAGAGCTTTGAAAGCTCATCTTTTTATGTACGCTTGAATGAGGACTTGTAAAAATCTCCTATAGCCTGAAGACCCCTCCCTGATTTTCTTGAGCAATTTTTTTTCATTTTGCTTCTCTTTTTTCCCTTCATCAATTACAACCAGAATCTCATGCTTCGCTCTCCATAACCCCATTTCCTACTTTGGGTTTTTTCCTTGAACTAATTTAAAATGAATTATTTTTCATTCATTTCATTACCGTTCCCACTTAACTGGATGGCATTTAAGTACGCATATTTTTTCCGTTTCGCTGTCGTTTTCATTAATTTCATGTTAGCCACCACGGCGATGCTTTCACAAGCATCGCTGGCCCTTGCCCAGCTGGTCATCAAAATAATTAGCTGTTCATCATATGTCATGAATGGCAAGAAATGACTGGCTGTTAATGAGTTGTGTTCTTCATTTGAAGAAATCCTTGTTAACAATTCACAACAAGCGGGCAAATCGTTTTATTTGCGATTTTTTTCTTCTTCGTTTTGCTCTCACCATGGAGCTTGATTGTCAATACAGTGGATGGCAATGAGGACATTCAGGGAAATTAGGAGGAGGGGGAATATACTTTCCTTACATTTTTTTTGCTGCTGGTGCTTATCTTGACCTTTGGAAAATCTGTGTTAAGATTCTTTTTTTTTTTTGTGGGTACTTGTTGGTGTCACCCAAGATGAAATGTCATAATGATTTTGAGTTGCTTATGCTTTTTTGGGACATTCGAAATGATTTTTTGTTTTTTTTTTTTTTTTCATTACATTTAAATTATAATGGGTTCTTATTTTGAGAGGGGATTTGAGCAATTGAAAATGAAGGTCATTAAAGACAAGAACCGCGTTTAAGTTAATTTTTAAAATTGAAGATATTAAAGATATATTGTAGGCAAATGCAGCATACTTTTAGGTATCACTAATAAAAATTATAAACTTGAAAAATATTTCTAATCTTGATGTCACTGTTGGTTATCGTAAATTTTATAAATAGAATACATCAAGAATATATTTTGTATTCAGAATTCATTCTACATATCTGCCCATTCGATCGAAGAAACTTCTAAGGCCATCTCTCTTTAAGATATCATAACTTGAAACAAAAATATCAACGCCATCTATAGTTAGATTCCATTCCAAAGCTGTTCGGATTCTCCCATGACTAAATTTTCAACATACAACTATTTCAAATTATAATAATTTATTTAAATAAATTAATATACTTTAATATAATATACTTTTTAAACATTTCAGTTTGAAATACAGATGGCGTTGCTGCCAACTTCTGTCATTTTCTGCTTCTTTAAATGTAATATAAATTTCACATTGAAAAATATGGTTTACAGTTCAAATATACATCATAAATAAACAAAATCTTCTATCTTCAAAAGGTTTTTGAAATTTCTCCAATCTCTAAAATTTTAGAAGCAGATGGCGTTCTCTTAAGACTTATAAATATTAGTGTCTCAAAACGAATTGTGAAGAGTCCTTCCATCCTATTTTATTTCAAGAGATGGCGTTACTCATATAGAAAACGGCCCTGGTGTAAACCTTAAAAGATAAATATTTTTGTTTGCCTCAAAAAATGCAACCAACTCCAGACTGCTGTCATTTCTAAGCCACTCGTCCGACGGCTGTTTAAATTATTCCTGTGACAGCTCATATATGGTTCACAAGCGTGCAAAAGCATTTTGTTGAGAATTTTCCAGAAAAAAAGTTATTCGAGATGGAACTCAAGCGTGAGTGGACGGAAGAAAACAGCAACATCAGCAGAAATGGTTCGAAAATTAAAGAAGCGACTTGATCGAAACATGCGTCGCAGTGGCTCGTAAGCGGAACATATCGCAATATTCCATTCGGCAATTATTAAAAAATGAGCTCGGGGTAAAGCCACCATGGGCCGCCATGACAGCCGATGGTCGCTCTCCGCTCGTATTAATCGACCGTGGCATCAGAAAAAATGCCGAATATTATCGCGAAAATATTCTAGAGAGTGTACTAAAGCCTTGGACACGCAAACATTTTGGCCGCAGACCTTGGATAATCCAGAAGGACTCAGCACGCCACCCAAGAATGGTTACAAACTGAGGTTCCTCGCTTCATTTCCAGCGCACAATGGCCGCCAAAATATCCGAATACCAATCCGTTGGACTATTGTGTCTGGAATATTTTGGAAAGCAAGGTTGGCACTAAAAAAATACCAAAGTGTCGATCACCTCAAGCAAGCGCTTCGCCGGGAAAGGGCCAAAATACCGCAACATTCGGGTAGCGTGCGACGGTTTTATTGGTCGTTTAAAGGCCACAATTCGTGCCAAAG